TGTGGTTTTGGTAATCTTCCTTATGTTGATTCATACCCAGATCAAAACAATGATCAAGACTCAAGATGGCATGTAACAAAGTTAGAGGTTGCCCCATCTGTCCATCCCTAACAGAATTTGTTTGGCTCCGTTAAAATTCTGTACAATCAACAGAATTTATGAGGGAGCCACAGAGAAAAAAAGCGTTTTACAGAAACGGGTAGGGCCATACTGACGTCAGCATAGACAACTACAGAAATCCACACAGCCTTACAGAATGAAACCAAGTGTTACAAAATTCGCGCCGCCGTCTACAGATGATAGGCACCCGCAACAGAACCGCTGACCGGACCACAAAGGTCGACAGAATTCCATAAAAAATCGATGGCAATCGCTGCCAGGAAAGGCCCGCACTTATGATTTATAGTATGCTGTGATGATGTGTTCTGTGTGTGTGCTGCCTCCAGCCAAGTACCGGCAGCGATCGCTGCTGGGAAGGGCCCGCACTTATGATTTATAGTACGCCATGATAATGTGTTCTGTGTGTGTGCTGCCTCCAGCCAAGTACTGGCAGCGATTCGATACGCCTCTATTCGCGACAAGCTTCCATAATCTCAAAGTCCATGACGGATGGCAACGGAATGCCAGGAAAGGCAACGGAAAAAAAAAACATCTTTACAGAAATTGGTGGCTGCAAACACCCCCTTGACAGACAGCTCCAGAGCCAAAAAACTGGAAGCTGACGTGGCATGAACGGCAACAGAAAATCGGCCCCGGCAAAACAACAGAAAAGTGACGGACGGATTTTTTGTCTTGAAAAAAAATACGGACGGAAAATAACAGAAAAAAAGCTGAGCGGCCACGTCTAAACAAAGTACAACAAAGTCTCAATGTGCCTTGATGATCTCTGATTGATGCAAGGAAAGGAGGCAAGCTGCAAGCTCCTGTGGAGCTTTTTTGCACTTCATTAAACCTCAGTTGTTGCGCCACTCCACGTGCACCCAAAGGGGTGGTACCGTGGGGCGCGTGCCCAAGACCTGCGCAACGGGCGAGCGGGGTGGGATGCTCCAAAGAACGAATTACACACAAGCAGTACAACGCTATATCACTTCTAGATTAGTTAATTGTTCTATTTGTTTGGTGGGCCCATGTAAACTATAGTAGAATGTATCAATACAAACTTGGATAAAACCTCAGGTACAATGAGAATATCCCAAAGGCAATATCAAATACCCAACACTCTCTATAGCAAAGATATCCCAAAGTTCCCAGAGTTCCCAGAGGAATCTCATCTATCCCATTCTAACCTAAAGAATCACGCCCCAACAACCTATTACAAACCCTGGGAATGTAACAACGTCAAGGATTCATAATATCAGTAAGGCAATGACGCTTTCCAAATTCAAAGATATTTACCAAAATTTTGACACTTATATAAAGCAAACTTCAAAACCACTTACCTTTAGGTCCTAATAGCCTAATTGTATGCCATTTCCTTGTTTGGCAAGGCTCTGTACTTCTCAGTGGATATGAATAAGATACACACTCCAAATGGCCCCTCAACTCTCCAAATAGCAGGTCTTTTTTCAAACTTATTAAACCCGTTCAGTCACCAGAGGCCAAGAAAATTTCTTTTGGACATTAGTGCAGTACTCAAAGGCGGCTCCAAAAGCATTCCTTGTGATGAGTAATTCCCACTGATTATCAGATAAAAATTTTGTGAGGGCCTTGGAGGCTTCCTCTCTTTCTGTACTTTAATAACAAAGTAGGCGCCCCAAAGGCGTTCCTACTTAGTATAAGACCCATTCTGGGACCCCGTAGGCTTCCCTAATGAGTATATGTTAAGTAATAATAGTACTTAATAGGGGTTCGGGGCTCTGCGGGCGTTCTCAATAGACCCGTGTACAGCAATTGTCATCAAATAATTCTGTGTATCCAGATCCTTTCACAACAAATTTTTCAAGTCAATATTTGTTTAAATACAAACCTCCATGGGCTATGACCTCTTTTGCAAGTTGAACCGATTTGTTTTCCGTTACCCCCTTTGCCCCTAGACCCAGAGCCACCCCCAACCAGTTGTCCAAATGTAGCACAACCCCTCTATTTATGTCCCGCCCGCAACTCCATCTCCTTCCAAGCAATCTAAGAAAGATTCTCAAATATTTGGGATTATTCATTGAACGCACTAGCTCTCCCTTCCCTGCCCCGTCAATTCCCATGCATCGACATCCTTGATTCCATCACCGAATGGCCAGAAATGGATCAAATTATTATAAACAGGCCAGGGTCAAATCAGAGACCTACTCACTTACCCCCCTTGATTCCCATCAGCTCCTTTTCAACATTCCTGTCCACCGACAACAGTTTGACATGTAGTTCATCCGTTCTGATTTAATGCTTTGATTACACATCATTTCATTCGTCAAATCACATCAAATGGTAATTGCAAACCTTTATTGTACTGATTCACTCATCGCCTCTTCGTCATGCAAACGATCAGTTTGTGCCATCCTTCCTTCTAGCATGTCAAGTCACATCTTGCTGCATGGCATCCCACATTTATTCCTCATTCACATCAGGCACATCAAGGGATCTATGAATAACATGCCACCTATCGTCGCCCGAACCCTAGTGCTGCCCCTCACCATCCATGACACGCCTCAACGCCCTCCTGACTCGGTCCTACAACCTTCCGTCCAGCACCACGCATGCCATGCTTTCCGCCGCCCGCGGTCACCTGACTCCCTTCCCTCCTGCTTCCCCCTGCCTTCGCTAGGGACGCCAGCGCCACGATCGCGCCCGCCATCGCTGAGCAGGCTGTCAAATCCGGCACCGCGCCTGCCAGGCGGATCCAGTGGCCATCCGCCACGCCATGGACTCCAATATCCCTTGGGGCCATCGCAGGTCCACCTGAACTTGCAAAATCCATGCATGGCACGACGAATTGCGGCCATGAAGGCAGCATCGCCAAGCCAATTCGGGTTTGCCATCGCCATCATCCAATGTGAATACCAACCAACTTAGCTTTGGAAAGCAGTTTGTGCTACCACTAGGAAAACAGGCCAAAATAACACGTGTTCAAAGTGAACAAAGTTTACGGCCTTGGGCTATTTTTGTGTTTTCAGCATGCAGGACACTAATGAAATGCATATGTATGCATTGCATGCGTATGTACGCACATGTTTGCAAAGAGTGTTATTTAGCCAATTTTTTGCTAGCCTGCCTTGCTGACTGTGATTTGAGTCAATCTGTTTGCTTACGGCCCAATCTTGACAGTGAGGGCTGCAGGGCATATTCAAAGAGTGCGCAAACTGGTCTGGTGTGCCTTGTGCTCATTAATATGCGGAGAATCACTGCAGCTGGCCAATTGGTCTCAAGAAGCCGTTCGAGTGAAGGACAACCCGAGTTTCCTTTGGAATTTTGGGCGTGCAAAGCACAACCAGACCAGGCAACGGGTAGCATAGCACCTGTCACCTCAGCCTGTGACAGGTGTAATCGCTGGTCCAGTCAGCAGTCCCTATCGCTTCCAATTTCTTTGTGCTTTTGTAACTGAGATATTAGTGAGTTGTTGTGTGTTGCTTGGATCCCTCTGTCCAGGGATTTGGATCGGACACATCCTTTAACTCACACCCACGTGAACGTGACTCATCAGCCATAGTTGGCAATCATACACTATCGCCATCGAACATTTCAAAATAGTAAAAACCATCTTTATGCGTAAATGTCCGTAAGTAGAAAGGTGTTTACGCCATAAGTACCAAGATTGCTCCAAATGTGGTTGGGTTGGCAGCAACTTACACTCCACCGAGTGACTGCTTTACACCCAACAATTGTGTGCTAAGCATACAACCATAAAATTGCACTTGCGATAAGATGAAGGGAATAGCATCCTCCCCCCCCCCACACACACACACAACCAACACGTCTCGGATACTTTTTTGTGCTGCCAAGAATAATTCCAGGGTCACAGAAATTGCCAAAAGTTGTTCGCAGGAGACGCGTAAAGGATCGAGTCTTGAATAAGCAGATTCCGCCCGTTACACAACAGACCATTCAACTTACAGGACAGACAAGTGATCCCAAACTCCTACGTGTAACCAAATTCAATTCCCAGTGTGGCGGCACCTCCCAAACGGCATTCATGCGGTGTCTGACACGACCAGCACACCCGCCAAAAAATTTCCGTCGCGAAATGTACAAGAAAATGCGAAACCACCCATCCCCAATGGGCAGGACAACCCACTCCTCCAAAAAATCGATAGTTCCGGTGGACTTCCCAGTCGCTTCCGAATCTCTTCCCGTATTCTTCCGATTCCGTCCGATTCCGTTGGATTCCGCTGAGATGCTTCCTGACTCCCTCCCAGCTCTTTTCCCACCGCCGGGTGTGGGAGCCTGGTGCGCCGCAGCTTCGCGGCGCGCCAATGAAATATAAATACAACGCCGAGCCATTGCACACCGCAAGGCCCTCCCTTCCTTTATGCCGTTATTCAAATGACGAGCGAACAATGAGCCAATTCGCCGTCGCGCGCAAGTCCGCACGTCGCCCCACGATTCCCTCAAGTCCCCAGGTTCAACAGACCGGCCATCCGCACATGCGCGAACAAACCCAAACAAACCCACAGCCCACCGGATCGACAAAAATTGAGATGTGGGAGTTCTGCCTCGCCACTTGCAGGGACGGGATTCCGCCGTCAAAAAATATTGGGAAACCACTGCCTGCCCTTCTCAAGTACCAGTGTCGGGCTCTGCTGCAATCGCGTTGATCTGGACCGCGTCGATCCAACAGATCAACAGTCTCAATGGGGTTGTAACTGTCCCACGGGTCAAAAAACTGTCTCGTGGACCAAAAAACTCACCAGCTCGATGGACAGACGACCCATTTGGCCAAAATATGCTCCACTGCCGCAGCGTTTCTTCTGATATTGGTTCTGTTATGGCTCAAGGCGGATTCGCTGAGAGAGGGCCACCGTGCAAGAAGTCCGCCCATTCCCTGTGGCCCTCTTGCCGGCTGCTCCGTCGATTTATTTGAATTCTTCTGCCAGACGCCTCAGCGCGCTGGGCTCCATGTCCTCCTCGCTGATCTGCCGTGGGCCGATCCGCACAGGAATGCCGCTGAGCATCCACATCAATGGACGTCAAATGGAACAGTCAGTGAATAAATAATCTGGTCAATCGACAAATTGAAGTGGACGACGCGCCAGGGCGGTGTTTCTTCACACATCCGGGGAATGTGTTGGAGGGAAATGCGCACACACCTGTACATGCACATGCGCAGGAAGAAAGTGGCGAGGCGCCAGGCGGAGTTCCTCAGCATGTAGATGACCATGGAGTGCAGCAAGTTGTGGGCCTGCCGGTCCAGGGGGCCCCTGAGGGCCAGGCGATCCAGCAAGCCGCCCAGGTCCTTGGCGAAGGGCTGAAAGTAATCCCGCCAGACGGCCTCCTGGACAGCGAAGTCACCGCCACCGGCCGTGGAATCTCTCAAGGTCGGAGACTGCATGACCGTTCAGCCATCAGTAACGATGGTGGAACTACTAATAATACTGGAGGAATTGCGCCCTGCTCCTGACGCTCCGCAGGCGCTGCCGCAGCTCAGGTAGCTCTTTCGGCATCCGGCAGGCAAGGATCGCAAATTTTCTCAAATACGACAGGCGCCGGAGATTCTGGACACTCCACCTCTCAATGTGCGTTTGCACTTTCGATGAGCTCATAGCGCTGATGGCACGATGGGGTGGCGATTCTGACTCATTGGAAGCTATTGAGAGTCCGGATTGTCTTAAAGTTGTCTTAGTGCGATGAACATGTAATCTCTAAAGCAAAGAGAATGTGATCCACGAGTGGTGCAGCAATTGGTAATGAGCGCGGGTGTACACGAAGGTACATTTGATTTTGTCTGCAAAATATTGGCATAGCTCTCCCAGTGAGCGTCAAATTGGATTAGTTGTATGTAGGCCAATATATACCTCCACGTGTTCCCGTGTGCATCGCGACGGCAACGCAGATCCACGTGGAAGCAACCTGTGCGATATTGGGTAATCTTAAAATTAGCTGCGTGGCCGGGGCCCAGAGCACTGCATATACAACCCCCTTGAACAAAAACAATAGAGTGGGGCAGTTTCCACAGTGTCAACATGAAACGGATGTCTAAGATCTGAAAGGAGCAGCGGAGAGTGAGGCATATAGATCTTGGTACAATTCGCCTATCTCCCGCCTGTGGTAACATTGCAATACCAGCGCACTATACCACAGTGTGTGATATTTCCAGCCAACACACACTGCCATCATGTCAACGACACTTCCGGAAATACATTACAGGCTCCTTCTCACGGTTCTTACGTAGCAACTCCGCCGCTGTTATCTGCATGCACGTTTTGCGCGTTGCTTGAAAAAAGGCCATACTCCTGCAGTGATAATTGAAAATTCCACTTCGGCACTACCTAAATTTGCCTTTCTGTGACAATGTGAGGACTTCCGAGATGGGCAGACATTCCTGGCGTAATTTTCCCATCGTCAAACGCGCGAGAGATGCAATTTCTCCAACATGATATGCTGTTCCCAGGTAGAACTTTCAAAGATAATCTGCCATGACCTCCTCATCTTACAAAAAGTCTGACTCCGACATTGCACCTGTTGATTTGGATGGCTCAAGCTGTATGTCGCTTTGAAATATTCAAATCAAAACAATTGAGAACAGGCCGAGGATACCCGCACACGAGCTGAGTCAGCACGGATGCGACACAAACATGATCCAATGGACAATTGCGAATTGGCTGATGCAATCAACGGAGAGTTGCTTGCATTTTTCCCACCTCCTTGCGGACCGCATTCGTCATTAGCACGAAGATCTCCTCGACGTCTTTGCAGACGTCGGCGGGGAGCACCAGCAGCGCAGCAGGGGCGCTGTGTTCCATGCCCTCCTCCCCGGCCACCGTCACCCTCAAATTCCCGGACTCGACTTGCGGGAGGAAAGCCCTGGCATCAATTGCAGCTGAAAAATTTAGAATACGGCCTGCTTATCACTTCGACCTCGTTGAATTTGTCGAGATCTGTCAGTGCAGACGATGCGCTTCGCAGCTAACTTTGAGACGGCAGCGCAGCATCCTATACAACCTTGGAGCAGCAACCCTATTGCTACCTCCCATGCTCACCACCTTGGCGCCAAAAACGAAAAGGCTAAAGTCGCGAGCTCCCCGTAAGAAGGCTCACCCAGGAACACCGTCTCAAGCGTTGGAGTTTCGTAATGGTGATTTTCAATGTGGCTTCAATAATTGTATGGAACATGATGGGAGTAATTGAAAAGTAACTCAAAACATGGCGAAGCAATGCCCTTGTTGGGCAACGCCCGTAATTGTCAACGTCTGCAAAATTTTTGTTTCCCGAGCTCTTATGATCATAGGCGCCAAACAACAAGCCTAAAACTGCACAAAAGAAAGGAATTTTAAAACATGACTGTTTTGAATCACACTTTCGTTTGGTTCTCATTGCCTAATTTATTAAATTCGGCTCAGTTTCAAACCTGAAACAACGATCAGACGCGACGCGTTGTTCCTTTCACGAAAGTGGGCGCACATTCATGGTCTCCGCTCCCTTTGAAATAGTCTCATTGCATAGCATAAATCCGCACCAAACCACGCAACGAGACTCTTGTCAGTCACAACGCCACCATGCACTCTGGCAAATCTGGACACGCGTTTGCCCAATAAACACCAATTCAGCACACGGGAAATCTATTGAAGTTTTTGAAACGGTTTTGGCACAACAAGGGAAAACTGGAAAGCTGGTATGCTGTTAAGACTTCGTGGACCTCGTGATACCATCTGTCCGCTGCCTTCATCTGACTCCTGTGCACTTGCAAACGGCCACGGCACAACAACACCGGGTCACCAATTAGCATGCACCACATATGCAAAATGCGAAAACACGGTTGGACATAACACTTGGATGGGAAGGACAGATAAGAACCAAAAACGCGGAACAGCGCCTATGTAAACTGATGGCCGAAGACAGGGAGGCGCTGCTGAGAGCACGCGTGGCTGCCAACTATTCGCAAAGCGAAAATCAGGAAGCTAAGAGTGTCGCATCTCGTATGTGCTATGCGAAATGGTATCAAATGCCTGCACTCTGGCTGCTCCTTCTGGGGCATGTTCACTGGTTCCTTAAGCTCACCTGGCCGCTCTCCCTGTCGGCGCTGCCAACGCAATGTTGGCTACCACCTTGTCGCCTCTCCTGATGACCACACTCTGTGTCCCGTGTCCAGCTTCCTGTGACACTTCATGCGACAGTCGGACTTCCAATTCACACTCTCGATCGGCCACAAGGCACGGTGGGTCAATGAAGACAATGTGGGGCGGCGTTGAGCGTGTCGTGTTGGTGTCGGGCATCCCTGAACATAGCAAGTTGAACATTAAAATCGGGGAACAAAATGAGAGGTCCCGCAGATGAGCGGCCGAGGCCGAGCCAAACATAATTTGGGAGCGAAAACTATGCCTGCGAATGTAATTCACAACTGTGTTCCCACGCTCCCACCAGTGCTGATCCGATGTGTCGGGTTCTACCCATCATCTGGTGGAGGTGCTGCTTATGATGCATTGTCAATCAAGACAATAATGTATCGTGGAAATGGGGCACTCGTTCGTTACCGCTTCCATCCGAAATATGAGGTGTCAATAAAGGGTTCACTGAAAACCAAGTCCTGGCGGCAAGACAATCAGGATTGTCTGTTCTGGAACCAGAACACCCAAATTCCTAATTCTACAGCGGATATTGTCTGTGGCAACATGCGGAAAGCAGCATCACTGCAGTTGCCGATGTACAGCAGAAGCAACAATGATTTGGCGCTGCGATGACGAATATTCTTGTGCATCGCTATCGCATATTTCTGCTGGCATTGCAGTGAAACAGGAAGGCCGGAACACATGTAATTTACAGGGTTATGCCCTGGCAATTAGGGATTAGTAGTTTCTGGGTAGGAAGGCTACATTATTTAGGGCTGTCTTTGGATAAGTGATCGGTATTGCCTTTCCCAGGTCCAAAAATGAGCTGGTGGCCATCTGTTAACCTTGGTGTGCAATAATATTGGCTGATCGGTACACCATTGTCAACACAGCTGACGTGATTCAACCACGGCAGGGGGCATGCACCATTAGATGTGCTGCAGACATTCGCTCACACATGTCGCAAATGTCACCACATTCCCCTTTGCTCATCCAGGGATCGTGACAACATGACGGAAATCCGTCTGCACTTGCAACTAACGGCAGGCGCAATGCGTCAGGACCCAGAAGCAATCAGCCGGCGCAGCAGGTTTACGGTCAGGGTTTCCGAACCCTGCCCAAGCTGCACATCGCCCGCCAAGGGAGAACGTTCGCCAGCTGAATTGGATCACCCCACGTCTGTACCTGGCGTGGTTTGCGGTGTGTTTCACACCACAGTACTGTGTCTCATCCCTTGCTGCAATGGGTGTATCGTCAGTCCCCGGCGTAACGCGCACATGCCCGACAGAGCCCCGCGCACATGCAGCGTTGGCGCGCGCGGCAGGGCCTGACAGGGGACTTCTAATGACGCCCGCGCGCGTCAGTGCCGGCCACGGGGTGCCAATGCGGGTCAGCCCACCGTGGACTGCCGCCGAAGGGCGGCGCCACTCGGCTGCGCCCACCAAACAGGCGGACGCATTGCGCGCCTCAAAACGCGCTCGCGCACAAGACCCTCGAGCGCCCCCGGCTGCGGGCCGCGCAAGCTCCTATGGGCACCAAACGCGCCGATCGCAACTGTCGCCCGTCACGCTGGCGCCACGTCTCAACACCGCAGACCAGAATCGGCCATTCCGTCCGAATGCCGGCGCGGAGCGGCGCCTTCCGGCTGCGCCCGCCCAAGTTCCGGGCAATGCCGTACACGGTCAACCCGGCCTCACAGGATCGCCAATACGCCGGGACGATGCCCCGATCGCCTCGCCCCTCCCGTTGCGGACAGCGGCTGGAGATCAATTCGCTTGGGCACCGCCGACCGAGGTTGAGGCAGCGCCGCGCTAGGGATGTCCGGGGCGGTCGACCATGGCGAGGCCCTCACCGTGCTCCGCCATCCCCCGTCGTTGAATGGCCGCACGGCGGCAGCGGCAGGCGCGGCGGGATCGGCGCCCGGGGCGGGACTTGGCGATGGCCGGACCGGGGGGCCGGAGGCCGGCTAGTGCGGGCTTCGGGCGCGGGGCCAGGGAGTCCAGACGTCGGCCGCGGCCTGCCGTTGCGCCGCTGCGCAGGCCCCCCCCATACCCGGCGGAGGTTTTTGACTGGGACGTTGCCAGGCTGGCCCGTTCGCCGCGTAGCCCGGTGGCTGTACATAGCACCGCGCCCGGGATGGGGTTCAGTAAAGGGGCGTGGGCAGGGGGCTTTGGTACGAGGTATCAGGTACGTTTTCGGGGCTTCGTACGGTGAGGAAGGGAGTCCCAAGGCGCGTTTGGGACCCCAGTCGACGCAAAGGGTGACTGAGGGCCCGCGTTGTACGCCGCTCATGGGGCGAGGATCTTGTGCGGGTCCTCGAGGGCGCGCCTTATGCGAGGCGCTCGCGTTAATTCGGCAGCGTGGGCCTGTACTCCACGCGACGGGGTCCACCCCTCGGCCCACGGGATGGAAGACCCAAGGCCTTAAAAGTGGTAGAGAAATACGTGAGGAGCGAAGTGTGGTCATCCGTTGGAGGGGTTTTTGACCAGCCAAAAACGTCACGTGAAGGTACTTCCATACCGCGAGCCCAGGAAACACGTAAGGAGCGAAGCTGAGTCATGCGTTGGAGACTTTCCGTCCGTTGGGGAGAGTCCAGTACAAGATGCAGGTTCCTGCGTATCCTGCCAAGCAACACGGGCTGAGCAAAGTGAGGCCAAACTTGCATATGTGTAGGGGAGAACGTTGCCTCCTGACGAACAAAGCAGTACGCTACAAATAGGGGAAGGAATTCGGCGACACCGCAGTGGCATGGAACTGACCCACGAGTCAAATTGGGACGCCGAGTGAAGCAGGAATTGTGACAGGTACCTTCTTGCCCTGGCGTGCCAATATTGATTGAAATGCCCATAGCATGTGCGTGATGGCACTGACTCAGTGCCACAAAACGCGTGCTGGGGGCATTTTCAATGGTGCTCGATTTTCAGACCAGTTTGACTGTGTGCAACACGTTTTACCCGTGGGTCAGTGTCACTCACGCACGGGTGGCACCTCGCACACAGTCCATTGCGCTGCATGGCTGGTATTTGATAGCCAGAACATACAGCTCTGATCCGCTTCTTGCCCACAATTATGCAGTATCTTCAACGGAGAACGAATGTCTGTGCACAAATCTAAGTTGCACTTATCTATTACAGGACTTGAACGCGCCGGCAGAGTGGCATTGCTAGGAGGCCAATTAGGTTGCGCTGGGAAAAGAGTATCGAGCAGTTTGCTGGGGCAGGACAGACCTGCGGCGATGGGCGCCAATTCACATCACTGATATTTTTCCATTCCTCAGGAACAACTTTAAGTTTGGGCTTGCGCTGCACAATGGACGCTGGTGTTTCAAGCAAGCAAAGTTGTGCCTGCGCAAGTCCAACACACTTCCTCCAAACCCGTGCTGTCCGTAAACACTGGCAAATCGAGACCAAATAACTCATTCTGTGAACACATATAAGTGCATTTAATCAGTGCTTTGCAGATTAAAAACACAGAAAGAACCCAAACCCGTAAGCTTTGCACACGTTTGAACACGTGTTATTTGGCCCTTTTTTCCTAGTGAAAGGTGCTCTTTGAGTCGCAAGGTGACCCGACTGGAAATAGTCTCCACGCCAATCGGATTCAGTAAAGAATCACATGGAATCAAGCACAAATCGGTCACCACAACATTTGATTTGACTATATCTAGTCCCATGTCGCATGTATTTCACAAAATACTTTGTCATAAATGCCTCCTCTGTCCGGAGTTAAATGCACGCGTTTTGTTTGAGAGGCCGAACTTATATCGTGCGCTTGTTATTTATCATTGAGATATATGAGTGTATTAGATACTCCCAAATTTCTGTAAAGAATAGATGAGCACTGCGCCAATGACAACACTTTGAATGCGCATGATATTTAACAGCGATCTCGAGGACATGCTAATTGTCGTAGGCGAGTAGACATACTCTGTTGATTTTATATGTCGCTCTTCGCGTCATGCCTATTGTTCCCAAGAGATGAAGTCCCATGATCTGGACAAGGAATCCGATCCTGTTGTGGATCATTGGATCCTCGAGCAGCTGCGCCGAACGCAAGATTCAGTACAGCCAAATGCCAGACCAGAACCTAACCTAGTCTCACGAAACTTATAGTGATCAATTGTGAAGCCATGCGCACACACCACGCCTCCCAGGGCGGGATCCTTCCCTATATCGGCAACTCAACGCTTGCCAACGCTTCTAAATTAAAATCGATATGTCACCTGAGCTTCCCCAAATGACAGGAACTCTGCCTGCTTAGTTGCTCGTGGGTTCCAATCAGTTCTCAGGGTTTTCTGCTCCAATTAAGAAGTGATTTGGTCCAAAATTTACATTTCGCATTTTGCGCACAAATATTGATGACAAGGTCTTGCTATGCGCAACTCCTACCAAATCGATCTATACGTGCAAGAGCGCGCTTTCAAAATTCCATGGCAGTCGAATGACTCCCGGGTAGCAGCATTTCGAATGGCACCGCCATGGCCAGAATTTTCCTAATATGTCAAAGTCTGCAGCGCCCAGCCTCAGAACGCCATCCTCAATGCGAGTTCTTGTGGCGGAAGGTGCACGACGAAAAGTACCTATTTGGCTGTCCATGCTTGGCATTTGCAGAGTAAACACAGCGTGTTTATGTGCAAAATTTGTGTTTACGTTTTTACACGTAGAGTACGCAAATGCAGGCCCCGTGCATATAAAGTCAGTATACGCAGGCTCAAGGAGTCCTAGGAGCGGCAGCCAGACGCACTGGAGTGGGGCAAAAGCGATTTTTGTTCGACGACATGGTTGCCCTTGCCGAGGGCGAGGTGGACGCTGTGTTGCGAGTGTTCGAAGGGGCGGAGAATGGACCATTGTTTGCTACTCCAGCATGTAAGCCTGGTGATTTCAAAGCACCGCAAATATGTGAAAATATGGCCCTTTCTGTGCTTACGCATTGTTGTGCGTAAAATACAAACATGGTGCAAAAATGGTGCTGTAAATGTAAAGACCAAGCCTGTGCTATCTTTCGGCTCTAGGTCGGATATTGCACTGCCGCGATGCCACACAACGATACAGCGTTCTTTAATGCACAGTTGTCCATCCCCCCCGTGGCTTAAGATGCCTTGAATGTCCCAGGCAGTTGAAGCCCGCGCGGCTGTTGACAATAGCGTGGTGGAATTGTTGGCAAAGCAGATCGGACAACCAGAACTCGATTGAGCTCACAGCCAGGACAGTTTCATAACATGCCGCATCTGTGAACGAGATGATGAGGGTGGAGGGGTGACGCTGATATGTCAGGAAGGAGGCCCTATTCATTCCTCTGCTCAGGAACAGCAAGATCACCAGTTGCGGCTGCACAGGGCACTGCCCCAGCGAAGGTTGCAGAGCGGTTCTGACAAGGTCGAGCACTACTGCATGCGCATTTCTCAAGCAAACGTTCGTGAAGAAATAATTTGAGCTGCTCGCTCCTATGCTCGAGGAGCGCTTGCATCGTCAGGGCAGAAACAAAGTGCACCATCAAAGTGGCCGTCAGGCAATCATCTTTCTCGTCTGGGTGCGGTGGGCGAACGTGCAAGATCTGGAAGTGCCGATGCAGTTTTTGGGACACAATCAAAGTGGCAGGAATGAGCACCGACATGCTTAAATAGATTGATGCGCGTGCCAAGTAAAAGTGATTAAGTCGCGGCGGTGGCTGTCACATGGAAACATTCGCATCCAATGGAACTCAGCAAGATGGGCACTAGTTGATGAGCTCTGCTAAATGTTCCTCGTGGAGCGGCTCGACGCAATCTCAGTTTTACGTTCACGAGGTTACCGCTATTTTGTTGGCAAAACAGCATTGCAGTTTCCATGGACGTGTTCCCCTCCGTCGGCAGGACTGTGATGCATGCTCCAAAATCTGCATATAATCACTTTGGTGCCTCTGCGGCATTTTTGGTCCACGGTTCATTGCCCGATTCAAAAGACGATCCCAAGAGCACTAAATTTTTGACGCCGCATTTTCTGGGCATGGCCATCAATAGTTGTTACCACCAAGGGGCCAAACACCCGTTATGATGCAAGGCAGCCTAACCCCGCCGAATCGTTACATTGTGGCAGGAAGCACGTGTGCCGCAGGGTCGATTGACGCCTCCTTACACAAGCCACATCTGCTGGAGCCGATGTGTGAAATTGATTGCGAAATTGGAATTCATTGATTAACTGTTCTTTGGCAATTGTGGGTAGAACATTGAATAACACAAGCAACCGTCCTAATAGAGATGGCAGCTGCCACCGTCCGCATGTTTTGTAGTACATCTGTGTCACACGACTTATGCACAACTGCAAACAGTGCATCGAAGCTTCTTTCCCTGTAGCACCCGTCAAAGAGTTTTTCAAGCAAGAAAATATCCGGACATCGTCCTGGAGCCCATCTAGAGTACCGAACTTGCCGGAAAGCAACGGAAGGGGCAACCCTTTCATCGTTTTTGCCCGGGGTCTTTTGCCCCCCATTCCTTTGGTCCTGTAAGACTGCCCGGTAGATATTCCCAATGCAGCCTCACAAGTCGTTGCTGCAGAAGGCACTGTCGGGCCCGTTCGCTGAGCGCAGGGCTCGCAACAATGCAGCCACCAACGTCGACACAGGCGTGCTCCTTCCGCTCCAGCGCTCTCGCGTCTCGACACATCCCAACCAGGTGGATTGGCTCCATTTTAGATCACGCTTTTCTAGTAAGGGCAAGAGAATTAACTCACACTCGGTCCTGGTGCAGCCCAGCCCGTCAGTTGCCCCGCATGAGGGCTCGCGCGTCCTCCGGAACCGCATGTCGCCTACCACCAGTCGGAATGCGCCGCTTGCACCTGGCGACGTCGCGCCTACCTGCGGGCCAGCGCCAGGACAGCGCCTCCGGCGAACGTCACCCTGCGACTGCTCACGTCGATCGTCGACAGGTCCTCCGCGATGAACGCCGGTCCGTGGTAGTCGGCCGCCACGTCGTCCATCAGCCGGCCGCGGTCGACGTTGGGGGGCGCGATGTGCGTCAGGGCAAGGCACCCCACCCCGGCGTCAGCCGCGATTTTCCCAACCACATCCGATCGCGTGTGGTAGGCGACGATCTTCGCGGCGGAATCGCTTGCCCGCATCAAGTCTGCCGTGGCGGTCGCGACAATCACTTCGTGCACCAGCAGGTCTGCGCCCTTGGCCGCCAAAGCCAGGGACTTGCAAGGTTTGGTGTCCCCGCTGAACACCACGCGCTGGCCCTCGGCCTGCAGGGCGAACCCATAGGCGTGCACGACCGGCCGGTGATCCACCTCGATCGCCTCCACCTCCACGCCTCCGAACGTCCCGACCGGCCCTGGGCCGATTTCCGTCACGTCGGCCTGAAGCGCGGCGGTGGACTGCCCCGGACCCACGTGGGCGATGCGCTGCTCGAGCTCCGGCCGCCACGCGTCCATCAGCCCCTCGACGAATCTCCTTGTTCCCGGAGGGCCGAAGATCGGCAGGGGCCGATCGCGGCCGCCCACCCAGCTGGACATGATCAGCTGGAAGGCGTCCATCACGTGGTCGGAGTGCAGGTGCGTGAGCAGCACGACGTCCAGGTCGCGGGGCGCCATGCCAGCGGCCACCATGCGCTGGGTGACGCCGGAGCCGCAGTCGATCAGGATCCTGGCGTCGCCGTGGCTGACGACCTGCGCGGCGCCGTAGCGCTCGGTCGAGACGACGGGGACGCCGGTGCCCAGGAACGTGACCTTCATGCCGCCGTCTCGGGGGCTGGTGGGCGCGGCGTCGCCGGGTGCGTGGGGGGGCTCACCCTGGCGCATTCGCATCAACTTCCCTCGGACGCGCCGATGTCCTCGAATCTGATTGGCGCTGCTGTTTGAGGGCATGCCGTGATGAGGATGTCGGACTGGGGATCGAAATGGGTACCTCTGGATGGGATGTCCCGCTGGTCTACCGAACCACCTGGCCAGTGTGCAGGAACGGGGCAGTCGAACCCCCTTAGCACTCTTCACCCAACAGCTAGACGCGCGCGTCGCGTCCTTGGGTGCAGAACTCGGTGGGTCTGGATCGCGCAACGGACGAGGCGCGGAGATGTGGACGTGCGGGAGCAGTCGCGGGCCAGACTGGACGCGGTGCTGGCACCCGCGACGGCAACTCGATCCGTGCGTCGGGCGAACAACGACCACGTGAGTCAGACGCTCGGCGCATTCAATTAAGTGCGCCGAGCGCCTGAGTTGTGGGCCCCCTCTGTTGGGCTATTTAGGGGACGTTGCCCAGGGCGAGGATATGCGGGTGGGAAGGGGGCGACTGCCACTGAAACCGAGCCCTTGGGAGTCGGTTTTGCTTCGAGAAATTTGATCTCTTCCCCCTGGATGCCTTATGGGAGGCTGTCAGATTCGTAAACCAGAAACGTCGACTGAGCGATGCCTGGGGTTGTGCATGCATGAAATCGCTTGCAGATTGCCCAAGAGAGGTTGCTGTTGACGGTCCTGGCGATCTTGAACATTTCCTGCACCACAAACGTTTGTTGGGGCCCCCTTCTGCCTGTGAAGATGACCCCTGTCCGGTTCCCACAAGTGTACAAGTAATGAACCGAGGGATCGCGGGGCCCATGGGGCACCCATTGCAGCTGGAACAGCCCTCTAAGCTGGAAATTATCCAGGAAGCGCCTGCAGCGTCCGTCATCCTCACACACACCACAGATGTGCCATTGGCAGGTGATCAGTCACGCCAAAGTTGATCCTGGCCGTCCAAAGTTGATCTGTGGCTTTGTTAGCGGGTGTGGCCCTCAAGTTCACAAACATTTGCCACTTACATTGAGCCTCTATTGCCAATCTATTGGCTATCTTCATCAACTACCGGCAGAGCACTATCCTTGTGCCTTCAATGTGATGAAGGGCTTGATTCAAGGCATTGTGATTTCCCAGAATTTCACCCATCTCAGCTCAGTAAAAAATCCAGTAAATGGCAAATTGACTCTGCAGCTCTTGATTTAAGAGCTTCCTCTGGTTGAGGTTGCAATCCTGCGCAAGTATTCGTCACAAATTGGAAGAGCGCTCCCCTTGCTCCTGCAAAGGACTGCCGGGCACATGTACAGAATGGCGGGAATGATGCATTGGATTTGAAATCAGTGTCCCAAACAAAATCGACTTGCAAGCCTCTGATCGCCATTTGTCCCCCATATGTTAAATCATGGAATGCCCACTAAAAAATGAGGTTCGAAAGTGACTGGCCCAACAAAGGATAGGCCAAGAGTGACGGGGCAACGGGCAAATTATCATAGGATTTTGATGTTTGCCTATTTGAAATGATTGTGCAGCTACAGAGCTTTCGAAGCTGCACAGTAATGTGCTATCCCCTGATGTAGTGCTGCACCAATACCATCCTCACGAATGCAGGCAATGCAGACAAAGTGAAAAGGCGCGTTCCTGTACTTCATGCGCTCCCAACACTCACCAAGATTCCTTTTGCCCGCTGGGCAGTGTTTTCTCCCATTCCCCCCCTTTTTTTTCGTTTTGTCGGTACATGCCCACACTATCTCACTCCAAAACGCCCCCCAAAGTAGCGCGGCGGACGCGCTACTCCTGCACTATCCACAGGAGTGCACGGGCAGCGCTCACGCCAGGAGGACGGACGCTGCCAGAAGGCCAGTTTCGAAGCCTGGCGGAGCAGGGAGGCATCTTTGCGGCCGATGAGCGCGGAGGGTCGCCCCCTGGTGGGCTCAGACGAGCCGTGAGTGACCTCTCCGCACCACGACTGGCTGCCGATGGGGCCGGAAGGACGAGCAGGGAATTGGCGGGTTCGCTGGGCAACTTTGATGATGGTGCCCGGGGGGGGCAGCCGAACTGTAGGTTAGGCCTTTGCACCGTGCCAGGAAGCCGGCGTGGCTGCAAGGGTGCGGAATCGTGAAATCCTGCTCTGCTGTCGGCCACACTATTCGATAGCTGCCTTGTGCAACGCTTCCCTGGGCGATGGCCGCCTTGGAAGGGACTCATAAGTTCGGCGCGTTCCATCGGGTGCGCGTCGGGATGCGGATGACGCCGGCTTGTTTCCGAACCCCAGTCGATTTTCCCGATTGGCGCAGCGGGCTGAACACAGCGTTTTGCCAAGATGGGGAGTGAAGGGTGCGCGTCCGCCATGACGTGGGCTACCAGACCAGTCAGTTTGATTGTCGTTGATGATTCGCGCTGATGGCCAATCATGTTCGTGAAACCCCTGGTCTTTGGCCACTAACAGGGCAGAACCACCGTATCCACCTGGTCCACCTGGTCCGTGTCCACCTGGTCTCCATCCTGGTTATTGGCAAGGCTGCAAGGGTTTCCTGTGCTCAAAGGGAGAAAGAGGTTGCAGAATGCGCGCTCTCTTCTAGCGCAGTACTCGACACTGTTGGTTTGAGTCATCAGTTCAGTTCCTTAGGCAGCAGCAGCAGCATGGACACATATGACCACTTGTGGCACAAATGGTGTTGTGGGCAGTACCCAAACAATGCATCATCGTTTGGGGCAATGTTTGGCTGGCTTGTGCCAGATTGGATCAATGCTAACGTGAACCCTACGTACATTTGTTACGAATTCTGCAGGATGTACGCACTGGCTTTTGATGCAAATGCAAGTCCGACATGTTCCAAGATGCAAGTGTGGGATTGTACTGCCACTGACACGGCGACCATAGCAGTATGTGGAATCTAATTCTTGGTTGATTGAACCTCAACTGTGGTTTGTGATGCAACAGGACAAGGACGCGCAACTTCTTCATTGGGGTCCTTACCTTCTTCAGTGCAATTGGCGGTTTCCTTTTTGGATACGACACAGGCGTCATATCTGGGGCGCTGCCCTTCATTAGGGATGACTTGTTGACAGGGTATGCCAGATTCCCCGAAATACTGGATCCCAGTGGCAGTGAAAACAGCATATGAACCTTGTCAGCGCTGATTGCATCCCAGCATGTGTGTTGGCATCTGATCCCTGTGGGGTTCCCATGCACCACAAGGCACCACACACATTGTGTATCAGTTACCAATTTAGTTTTCCATGGCACAAATTTGAATCAAGGAACAGTGGCATCCCTTGAACATCCAAGCATTCACATGCAAAGCAAACATTGCTTCAGTGAATTGAAGCAGCAAAGGAGGGACATGCATCAAGTTGTCAAAGATAGCAAATTATGCACATTTTGTAGTTTTACATACAAAATTTGTGGAAACCTGTATACTACACGTAAAATAAAGTAGGAGCCACATCAGAGGACGAAAGAGGGGCATATATCTACTCCCTTTACACGTGCCGAATCGATACCTTTTCTGTGTTGTCAGTGTACTACCTATGGGGGAGCTGCTGGGTGCAGGTTGCACAAGCTGACCAGTGGCACTGTCAACCAAATTATGGCTTGGCGTGTGCTGTTCCATTTTGTTGGGGCCCATTGTTAGTTTCGTGGCTCCAGTTACGTGCAGAGTGTGGAATTTGTGTCAATCAAGATAAGGAGCTTGCCAATACCTAGTAATGTTTGGTTTCGACTGTTCCAGGTGAATTTCCACATTCAGTTCCCTTCTAGCACTTGGGGATATGCTCAGAATACTCCATGGACGTGGAAATTTTGTTGCTCGTTTTGTTGTTGCTGCTATCACTGTCAGCATATAATTATCAGCCATAATGGTTGGAAATATTTGTTTGATGCCTAAATTCAAAGAATCCCATTTCATATCTGCAGATATCAAGATGATCGCCAGCTGCAAAACTTCATGCTGGAGTTGATCGTCAGTATAGCGATCGTTGGTGCTGGCATCGGATCAGCGTTAGGAGGATGGTTGAGTGACAGGATTGGAAGAAAAAAGGTGTGTGGTCGGGGATGGTATTTACATCTGAGGACGTCAATGTGAATGCACGATTGTGTGCAAGACTGCCTTGGAATTGCCGACTGGCTTCTGCAAACACAAGGCCTTGGGTTATTATTAGACTTTCCTAGTAGATTGGCCATTGCCTGTGTGGAAAATGGTCATGCAGTGGATGATGTGATACGTGCAACGACTTGGCAGAATGGCATGTTGCTTGCTGTGCACTCATTTAATCTCTTAATGCCACGTTTACCCTGTTGTAGATTATGATAGGTGATTCTCTTTTTGTTGCGTGCTTGTGTTGCCATTGCCAAATTACTGGATGGCTGATGTGCAGGCTCTACTGTTGGGAGACCTTCACTTCATTGTTGGGGCGCTGGCCATGGGAGGGGCCCAGAATGTGTCTTCCCTTATTGTAGGTAACTTGCAATTCAGTGCTGTTTCACAACACCTGTAGTGGAGAACGAACAAGCATTATGTCTGCAGATTCACGTGGGATATTTAGGACATATGGATGCTTGTCAACGCCCTCCAAGTGCAACTGCACGGCGTTGCCCTGATGAGATGCTGTACTGTTAGCCCTTCGATTGCATTTGTTGCAGGCAACACAACCGTAGCACTGTTGTCAGGTATGTGGCTGCACACAGAATGTGCAGAATGCTTTTAACCACACTGAATGCTTTCTCCATAAATGCCAAAGTCCAAATTTAGTCTGGTGCAAAACACTGATATATGATAATGAGAGCCACTGCAGTCCAAAAAGGAACTCAGTAGCCTGCAATAAGGTTACGGGAACACTGTGGATGTCTGGGCCTTTGCTGTTGCCATGGTTTGGATGCAGGCCAGGTACTGCATTGTAAGAGCTCTGGTCGACAGTCATGGCCAATAAAATCGAAAGCATATGCCAACAGAAAAGGACCACAGGTGCTCAGCTGCCTTCACTTGTGTTTGCATTGGCTTTCAAACCTTTTTTTCAGAAATCGCTGTCCCACCAGGCAATGGCTCTGGTCCAGACTTAACCCGGCTTGGACCGGTGAGTGACCCACAGCCACAGCC